GTACAAGACGAATTTTACCTCGTTTAAGTTTCGCTTGTGCACATGCTGGCTATCTTGTGATCTTCACTGAAACCGGTAAATAATTACTATCACGGCCGCAAGGTGAGTAATTACAAATCTTGACATAAAGAAAACGTTTTAGCTATAAATGCGAGCTGACTGTTATGTCGAAGACGTGGCGCTATAAAGATGCCAATCGCCTTGATCTTAATGTTCGCTGAAGCTCAGAGGTGCTTATGAGGACCAGCTCATGATCAGTCGCCAATGAAACTGTTAAACATTATGGCGTTACTATCAATAACGCCGAGGAACTTCGAACAGGGCAATTAATCATTTCACTCATAGAAATGTTAAGCTTTGTGTGTTACAAACCCGACACGTGTAAATATAAGCCGGCTTACAAAAAATCTGGATCTTTCCTCAGGAAATATCTGTAAACTTGAGAATAAAATATATGGGCATGCTGAGCGATATTTCAAGAGAAATATTGATCCTTATTTGCCTGGGTCTAACAAATACAGGGGCATTGATTTACCTGTGTTTAAAAAAAAAAATCAAATACGCTGGGGCGTTAAATTTGCCTGTGTCTAACAAATAACGTAATTTGCCTATGTTTAACAAATACACTGGGGCATTAATTTGCCTGTTTTTAACAAATACACTGTGGCATTAATTTGCCTGTTTTTAACAAAACACACTGGGCCATTAATTTGCCTGTGTCTCACAAAATACACTGGAGCATTAATTTGCCTGTGTTTAACAAATACACTGGGGCATTAATTTGCCTGTGTTTAACAAATACACTGGGGCATTAATTTGCCCGTGTCTAACAGATACAGTGGAGCATTAATTTGCCTGTGTCTAACAACAACAAAGGCGCATTTATTTTCAGGTTTCTAACGAATAAACGTTTGAAGTATTTACTTCTCTCGAACAAATTTATTAATGTAATCCTTTACCAATACAATGGCAACTACGATTAAGGCATTTAAAACTGAAAATTCCGGTGATGTATATTTTTTATCCAAGCCGGCACGAAACCTTTAGCCACTAAAAATATAACAGCAAAGAAAGAGTAGCCCTGTCCCATTGTTTTATTGCA